CCTGGTTATCTAGCTCTCCACTACTACCAATTTAATAAATATTTCTGAGTAGCTGTATGTGCTAGGCTCTGTACTCCTGATCCTCTTCTCCTCACATTCAGCCTCCCTTCTGCTCCCGTTTCTTTCTCTCCTTCTCTCCTCTCATCCCCTTCTGTCCCTCTCTTCCTTTCCTCTCTCTTCACCTTTGACTTCTTTCCCTTGTCTTATTTCACACCTGCTGACCCTGGCTCTCTCTTCAAACAAAAACATATGCAACTTTCTCCCCCACATCACTGACCCTCCAAGAGATCATTTTCTACTCAGGCTTCCTTCTCCCTTCTACTCTTCCTTTCAATGCCAGTCGCTCCCCAACCCTCTTCCACCTGGATTTTGCCCTTACCTCTCAAAGAACATATATCTGGCAAAACCATTAACAACTCCTAATTCTAGTTGTCCCTAATAAACTGAAAATTCCAATAGTCTCATATAAAGGATTCATTTTTGTATTTTCTTCTGGTCTTTCCCTATGTGTCTACAATTTCACATAGCTATAATAACTTCAGCATAGAAGCAATTTTTGGGGATGCCTGGGTGGCTCAGTGGTAGAGCATCTGCCTTCAGCCCAGGGCATGATCCTGGGGTCCCGGGATCAAGTCTCACTTCGGGGTCCCTGCATGGAGCCTGCTTCTCTCTCTGCCTATGTCTCTGCCTCTGTCTCTCTCATGAATAAATAAAATCTTTTAAAAAAGCATTTTTTGCATTTTCTTCCCTTTTTAATATAATACTGTGACTCTCTACACCTTCACTACATATCCATCATAATCGCCCACAACATTTGCATGGTAGTGGATAGTTTCACTTATGGTTAAGAATCTGAGCTTTGGAGTTCTGCTTGTATTCAAGCCTCATCTTCACCACCCACTGGCTGCATGATGTTAAGTTAGTTAAGAATGAGTCCTTCACTTTTCTCATCAGTGACATGGGGATAATACAGTACATATGTCATAGGGCTGTTATAAAGATAAAATGAGATAATGTATATTAAGCCTTAGAACACTGGCAAGTATGCAGCAAATATTCAATAATAGCTATTTTTATTATATATTATCTAAAAGCACCTTACTTAACTTATACAGTCTTTTCTAGACATTTAAGTTATACCTATGTGTTATCATTATAAAGAAAGTTGCAGTGAGCATTTGCTGCAAATAAAACTTTAAAATTTTTGGTTTTATTTTAGAATATAATTCTTAAAAAAAGAAAGTCCCAAAATTGGAATGAGAGAGTTCAAGAGCTGTGTGGACATCTCATCTCTCTGGAACACTTTTCTTCAAATGACAGTTTTTATCTGCATTGTCATCTGCAGTTGGCACTTACACAAATTCTCCCAGTACAACTGATGCTGGATAGCATCATCTCTTTCAGTGACTGAGAAGTTCATAGATAAAAAATTGTAATCCATTATTATTTCAGTAAGAATCTCTTTGACATTATATTGTGGCCAGTATTATAAATGCTTATCCATTTATTACATTTTGTCTTGCATAAATCAGTTTCTCCTTAATGTTCAAAACTAAACTATTGATTTTCCCCACAAAACTGCTCTGCCTCCTGTCACCTCTGTCTGCCCCTCATAGAAGGGCACTTCTATGTACCCAGTTTCTCAGGACAAAAGCTTGCAGCCACCCTGGATATCTACACCCAGTCTGTCAGCAAGTCTGTCCCTTTCTCCTCAATAGAATCTGGTATATAATTCAATCAAAGATAACCCATGCTACAAAGGTGCTCAAGTGAATTTTTTTGGTTGATGTAACTGTCCTGTGTCTTGATTATGGTATGATCACTTGACTGTATATATTTGTCAAAGCCTATTGCAATGCATACTTATAATGGATGAATTCTACACACACAACTTACACTCCTAAAAAACTAATTTAAAAATTTTCTCTTGCAAGAAAATCTTGCAATTACAATGTATGTTTGCCTTTTGTGCCTTAAGAGAAATCCAGTTTCCCAACACATTTTAGTCTTTCCCCTTGATTTTCCATTTAGATGTAGATGTGCCTTTCCCCAGAACTGCAAATTCATGAAGATCTCTTCCTACTTGGTCTTGTCTAAAGAATTTGCCTTTATGGAAAGGCAAATTCCACAAGAATTTGTCTATGTGGACTTGGGCCACATAGTCCATTTATCTTGCAGCCATTCCATCTCCCAAGATTGCCTAGTCAAGGAAGTGTCATCTGTTCTTGAAGCACCCAATGCTTTCCTTGAGCAACTGTGCATAATGCCTCCTCCTGCACTGTACCACCAGAGTCTCTGTGAAGCTGGCCATATACATACAGTGCTTGAAATTACTGCCCTTATCAGTTTTTATTTTCAGGCTAAGTGAAGTTTCGGGAATGCCACAGAGGAGCAATGCTGTAAATAGTTTGTAACATAACATGAGTTAGTTTTTCAGCTGTTGACAGTTCATGTCCCAAGGGAATGAGATTTAAGTTAGGGGAAAGGGATAAAACCAGAGAAAGAGGAGCTTTCAAGAAGGCCTGGCATAAAGAATTCTGGGAAAGTAGGATAAACACTGAGTACCTAGCAAAAGAGGGTGAGGCTTAAGGAGAAGCAGGATCCTCTGGAAGCAAACATAAGAAACCTTGCTTTATAATTTACCTAGCTTCTTGGGTTGGAGCTCTACAGACACCTGGAGCCTCTAGAAATAGAGATGAGTTCCTAGTGCCCCCTGAACATTGAAATAGAGTCCCCCCTTTTGGGAACTCACCCTAAAGAAACTCATCCTTTCATAAGACTGTGTTCCTCTCTTCCAGAGCACTTACCAGTTTGCAACACTGCATTAATTAAGGTAATTTTTTTATTACTGTCTCTTCCTGTCTAAATTGAAAGCTACATTAAAACAGTACCTCCTCCTGTTTTGGTCACTATTCTATCGTTTCATATAATATTTATTTAATAAATAGCTGTTAAGTAGACAGTCCTAAGAGATAAGTACTGTTTAATCCATATTTTTCACAATGCTACTGAAAAAAGGTAATGTTAAAAGTATAAACTGAAAATTTTAATTGTGTTATGGAATATGCTGTCTGGGTGGGTAATATGAGTTAGATTTATCTGGTTCCCTCATTGCCACACAGCAGCAAGTTAGACTTTGGGGAAAAGGAAATAGATGGTAAGGTTTGATGAGATATGAGGTGAGAAAGGTTCAAGCACACTTTCTGCTAGATTCCACAGGAGATAAAATACACTGAAGACAAAAGGTCTCTTCTGCATAACCTGGTGTAATAGAAAGTACATGGTCTTCAGGCTCATAGAGGCTTTGGGTTGCATCTCAGTATTTACCTCTTAGGTGAGCAATCTTGAGGAAGTAACCTAGTTCTTCTGAGCTTCCTTTTTATAAATAGAAACAATTGATCTTTCATGAGCTTCCTGCAAAACTTAAATTATATGGCAGCATAAATCCAACAATTCCATTCAAAGGTATTTATACAAGAGAAATGAAAATATATGTCCCTAATCCCCTTGTATATAAAGTTTATAGCAGCTTTATGAGCAATAGTTTAAAACTGGAAGCAGCCTACTTGTCTACCAATTAAAAAAATGAGAAACCACATTGAAATAGATTCAGCCAGTGGGCTGCTTTTCAACAATAGAAAGGAACAAAGTACACAAATGTGGATAATGTCACGAACATGTTGTGAGTTGGAAAAGTCAGACACAAAAATGATAAATGCTGCATGATTCTATTTATATGAAGTTCTATATTATGCAAATCCATTTCTGTGTGTGTGAAGTAAAGGTCAATATATAAATGATGGTTAATAATAATATTTAGAATAAATGGTTGCCTTTGTAGAAGGAGGGGAGCAAGGATCAACTGGGAAGGGGTATGAGGGAACTTTGTAAGATAATAGTGTTTTATGTTTTGAAAGGGACTAGGTTTACATGCATACATGCATCTCAAAACTCAGCAAATGTTCACATAAGGTTTATGCATTTTATTGTATGTAAATTCTACCACAGAAGAAAATAAAACTGCAAACACATATTGAAGTACTGATGTGCATGCTGGTATATTTAGGAATAGTATAATGAGGGCTGCAGTATACCTAGAACCAGTGACTGTAGAAATAGCTGGAACTAGGTACTATTTACTTAGTTGATTGCATTTTTTTTTAGAAAAAGGTGGACTGATGGAAATATGAATAGATAAATAGATAATAAAACAAGTCTGGTGAAGAGTTCATGGTAGAATTTCAATGGTGGGTCTATGGGTGGTCATGGCAAAGTACTCTGAACTTCTCTATAAATCTGAATATTTTCATAACAGAATATTGAAAAAAGAAAAAGCAAATGAGAGCAGCTGGATACAGTAATGTTTCACTGACTACACTGAAGTCTTCCCTGCTGTGTGAGTCTAAAGAAAATGTTCCCATGAAAGCCATACAAGATGTTCTGGTTGTTAGAACCAATCCTCAACCCTTGACCCTGTCTGCACTGCCGTTTACTACTCTCTCTCTCTCTGCTTTTGTGTTTCCCTTTTTACCTTCGCATTGCTCTTTCTCCTCCTAAATAGAGGTGCTACTCTTTTCCCTCTCTGTGATCTCTCCCTTAAAAATTCCACTCAGCCTCTGGTCTTCAATAGAACATTGACTCCAACAACGACCAGATCTATTTCCAGCCGTATCCTCATTCCAGAACATTGGTTTTACATTCTGAGCTGTCTTCTGGTCACTTTGCCCCCATGTCTGTAATCCTGTTCTACTTGTGTTACCTCACCGCTGCTCCCAGGCACCCCGGGGTCGCTCATGCTCCCCAGGCTGCCCAACTGATGAGCAAGCAAACCTCCTAAGACTCTCTGATGCCCATCCCTCCCTGTTCCGTGCCTTCTTTTTCTACCCTAGTTTGTTATTGTTACTTTTTGAAACAAGTCTGTTGAAACAGCTCCTAACTGGCCTCTGCTTCCTATTTCTCCAGTTTTCTCACTCCTGACATTTCTAAGAAAGCCCACGTACAGTAACATAACCCCTCAGCTCACACATTCCTAATGGATTCTTGTTGCTTTGAGAATCAAGTTCAAGTTCCTTGGCCAGGCTTTCAAGGTTGCAATGTGGCCTAAACTTGGCATTGTAACTCAATTTCCTAGGATTTCCATAATCTCTCAATCCCGAATTCCAAACATATGAAGCCAGTTTTTGCTCCTGTTCCGAGACTCCTTCTCCCATTTAGAATGATTGAAATGTCTCACAAACTGATGTATCCTAATGGGAAGAATCTCTTTTACCTCTGGACATGCGCAGTGCTTCATTTGAAGTTCTCTGAGCAAGCTGGGCCTTTTCTCTCCGGTGTTATTAATAGTCGTGTGTTAACACGTGGTTCCTAGTCACCTGGTAGCTCCTTTTGAAAAGAATACGTTTGGTTTATCTCTGTCTCCTTCACAGCACCTTGCAAAGAGCCTTGCACATGGTGGAAACTAAAACAATTGTTTATCTAACTTATGAAAACTGGAGAGACTGGAACTTAAATAGAAACATAGATATTTAGAAACAGGTCATTCTTGAGCATTTCTATTACTATGCAGTTAATTTTTTTCATGTGTAAGTTATTGTCCAACCACTGTTTTTCTTTGTTGCGATTCTCCTTACACCCATCAGATTTTAAAACCATTGGTGAGGGATGCCTGGATGGTTGAGTGTCTGCCTTTGGCTCAGGGAGTGATCGCAGAATCACCAGCTCGAGTCCCACATCTGGCTCCCTGCATGAAGCCTGTTTCTCCCTCTGCCTATGTCTCTCTCTCTCTCTCTCTCTCTCATGAATAAATAAATAAAATCTTTAAAAAAACATTGGTGATAGATTATTTTTATGTGTGGATCCTATAATACAGTGGTATTTCTCAGAGGCCAGATGAAAGCACATCAAGAGGCAGCATGACTATACTGGTGATGTGTATGGTAGGTATGCTCACTGGTTCTTCCCAAACACTTGTGCTCAGTAGAAAACTGAATGTCACTTGTCAATTCCAAAAGAGAATTTTAGCTAGAATAGTGTTTTTCAATTCAAGCCACATTAGAAAACTAACATAAGATTACATTCTCTTGTTATAATCTCTTTTAATCTGAAATTCATAAATAACTTCATATTACAAAGAAAATCTAGTATAAATCTGCTACTCAAGAATGCAGATAATAATTACTGGTTAAATAGGACTGGGTTTAAGGGGGAAATTGGGCATTTATTGTAAGCAAAGTATTAGAGAAATTTAGAGCTAAATGTGACCTTGAGTATTTTAAACCAATACTTTCATTTTCATATTAGAAAATGGAAATCTAGAGAATGTAAGTCATTGGTTAAGGATACTTGGTTAACTAAAGGGAGCCTGCTTCCCCATCAGCGCTCCTCACTTTTTTATACCATGTGTTTCAAGAGAATTTGAAGTAAAAGAGTTGCCTAAAAGTGATTTTTCTTTATCTTTCCTTTAACTACATCATCATCATCGCCATCCATGATTTTATTGCATCTTACTATGTGCCAGGCACTGGGACACATAATTTATAAACATTATCGCCTTATGAGGTTGTCTGAAGTTGTAAGAAGCCTCCTACCACCTCTTTCTGAGGTATCATTAATCCCATTTCACAGATGAGAAAACTAACTTCACAGTCCTGGGAGTCAAATAACCCAACAATCCCTGACCCAAAGAGTTCACAAATGAGTGCAATAGAAAGTCATTGGAAAGTTAATTAATTATACCTCTCCCTCACAGTTTGATCATGTAGTTTTTATGTGCCTTTGCTCACCACAATCAAAATCTCATTACTATGTTGCAATTATGATTGTGTCATGTGGGAAAGAACAGGAAAATGTAGAGGTCTTTCTTTCTACTATTTATGTTTCTTTTTACTCTTATTTCTTTTTCCAGGGGCTCCATATGTACTCTTCATGCCAATTTCATTTGCATCCTAGAGCTATCTGCAACAGAGACTTATTCCTTCTTTCTTGATATTTATTATTCAGTCCTTAACATATATGCACTGTAACCTCTCACAATTTGGCAACCTTAGAAAACATGTTTGTAATAAAAGCCAGGAATTAAAGCAGGTAGAGTGAGGGATAGCAAAACAGTCCTTCCAAAAGAGAATTGGAGGGGGCAAAAGTCTTCAATATTCTCGGTTGGGGAGTTGGTCAGTATCATACTGAATATATGGTAGCTTGAGGGGGATTTCTTTCTCCTGTGCTGGGACTCAATATTCAGGAATACCATTTCAGCCTTCCCCTTTCTTGATGCTGAAGTGAACACAATTGTGTTTCTCCAGTACCTTGTCAGCAGAGATCTGGATTGGCTACTTGCATTCACTTCTGCAGACTGCTAGCATGGGCACAACTTGAATTGGCATATAATTCCATTCTGTATAGAGTGTTGGTGTCACAAATGACACTTGTAACAGATTTCAAAATATGTCCCATGACTTTTTAATCATTTAAAACAAACCTATTTTTTAAGCATCACTATTCCTGTGCTGGCACCCACCTCTCCTCTTTTATTTTTTGTTAACTAGCAGTGGGAGGGGCAGAGGCAGTCTTGATAGTGGCACCTCTGGTCACTGTCTTTTTTTTATTTTTTTATTTATGATAGTCACACAGTGAGAGAGAGAGGCAGAGACATAGGCAGAGGGAGAAGGAGGCTCCATGCACCGGGAGCCCGACGTGGGATTCAATCCCAGGTCTCCAGGATCGCGCCCAAAGGCAGGCGCCAAACCGCTGCGCCACCCAGGGATCCCTGGTCACTGTCTTAATGACTATTTATTAGGTGCTTGAGCTTGGACACATTACCTGATTCCTCAAAATATCCATTTCTTTTAGGTAAAGTAGGTATAAAAATAGTGTCCACCTTGTGGGAGAGGATTAATTAAATTAGATGATATAGTGCTAAGCACCATGAATGCCACATAGTACTTAATAAATATTAGCAAATATTATCATTATTCTGTCATGACACCACCATCCAATAGACAGCTGAAACTGGAAGCAAGAGACTGAGCAGAAAAAAAGCCTAGGAGTATACTTGAAGCAGAGCAAGCCAAGGACAACACTGGACAACAGACTCTTCTCTCTCCACATTTCTTGAAAACCCTGGTGCTGAAATATCTACAAATCTCAGGAATATGAATAAAACTTTGCTTTTACGTAATTCACATTCAAAATGTAGGCATTGATAAAGAGAAAGAGTCTTCTTTTTATCTGCTTTTCTACTATGGACAAATGAAAAACAGAGTATAGAGAGATAAGTGGAAGCATTATAGTGGATCCCTCCACATGTGCACCAAGACTATTCTTTATAAACATGTCTTTATTGACATTGAAGGGCTAGCATGTCTCCTTTCCTTCAAGCTAGGAAAGTGACCCATCTCAGCCTGCTATGTGAGCAGAAAAGATTGGAAGTGAGTTTGACTTTCAAAAGGAAGGGGGATGATCTTGGGGGTAAATGTAGTTTACATTTACTAGGTAACTGTGTGACCTAAAGGTTTACTAGATAAAATTTCCAGCTTATTGGCAGAGAGTATGTTGTTACCAGGTCAGAATAGATGTCAGTACCATGTGGCACAATTAACATTTGGCAAACCCAGCCTAGGGCACCTGATCTTGATTTCCAAGGTAAGCATGGGTTTAGTTGAGTTCCTTCTTTGTAAGGGGAGCAATGTGGTTGGGTCTCTACATATCCCCTTCCACTGCTTACCAGGAGTCCAAATATAAGCTAATACGGTTCTTGGATCCATATTATAGTAATAAATAATCACTGTTTTGATGGCACTATCACGTCCCAGCAGCATCCACACCGCAGTGCATTTGTACTTTTATCTCCCAAGACCTGCTCTCTCCTTTTCCATAGGAAGAAAGACAATATGGGGCAGGCTTATAATAGCACATTGATGAGACTTAGCCAGAATAAATGCGAAGAAAACTACCCTAGTAGGTGGGAGGGTGGAGATGAAAAGATGAAGACAACTCATTGCCCATCCTGCTACCCATCACTGTGTCTCCAAAGATTCCTAAACCTTTACCCATCCTACTAGGAATGAGCACTGATTCAACGATTAATGTATTCAACAAGTATCAATTGATTATGGTTTATGTGCAAAACACTTAGGATATGGTAATGAACAAAACACAACAAAAATCTCTACCTGAGAAAAGTGGTAGATAAGATCAAAGATTTAATATGGGTATGGGTTGTGGGGTGCAGTGAGCAGGAAGACTGAACACATAGGCTATTGCATGAACTTTGGACTTTACTTTGGATGATATGGGAAAGCATTGGAAGGTTTTGAACACAGGACTGACATTATCTGATTTACACTTAACAATATCATCCTGACTACTGTGAGAATTGAGCCTAGAGAGACACAAGGGCAGAAGCAGAGAAAGGGGTTATGAGGTTATTAAAATCATCTAAACAGGCCATGATGACAATTGGGGCCAGAGCTGGCAGTTGGATGTAATATTTTGGGGATCGTCATTATATAAATGGCTTTTGAAGCTGGAAAAAAGGATGAGCTCACTTAGGGAGAGATGTTAGCCAACAACTGAATGCTGGGAACTCCAACATTTAGAGGATGGGGAGATGAGGATGACACAGTGAAAGACACAGAGAAGGAATAGCTGAGAAGGTCGATGTTAGTCCAGATGCCACTTAAAGAAGCATGTTGAACACTGCTGCTAAATCAAATAAGATGAGAATTGAGACATAAGCCTTGGTTTTAGCAACTCGGAGGTTGTTTGAGACCTTGATGAAGTGGTTCTAGTGAAGTGGTAGTAGGAGAAATGTGAGAGTGTAGGACAATTATTTAGGAGATCAGGAAGGAGAATAGAGTAGGGAAGGAAAATATACCTACTGGTCAGTGTTAAGAATCCACTTGAGTTGATGGCAGTGACTTTAAAGATGACAGGTCAGTGGTTTGTGTCTTTCTCCAGTCATACGTAGCTGCATGGATGCTAGTGAAAAGGAGGCAAAGGGCTGGATATAACCAAGGTTGTGGTTTTATTGAGCAAGTACAATGAAGTAAGAGGTAGGGCATGAGATTGAAGAGTGTGTGGAAAGGACTCATTATAACAATTGATCATAGAACTTAAGCTGCATAAGAAAAGTGGAGAGTACTGAGAATGGGGTGAAGTCCATATGATCAATAAATTAAAGGGATGGTGGCATTAAAGGATGGTTGAGTCGGGT